TCCATGTAATTTAAGTTTTCTCATGTAATGTCACGTAAAACCACCCTCATAACTCCGTTCAGAGAATCGCTCGGCAGATTTGAAATGCGGATTTGAATTCAGCGCCCAAAAACACGTCTAGCAGTATAGGTCTTATTTCAAATGGCCACTTCGAGTAGGGATCCTTCCCTGGTAAGTATACATATATCGGGTCGCCTACCCCTCCTAACCCTCCGTGTTGGATAAAAGGGATGCCCCTCCTCTCTAACTACATTTTATAACTACTTGGTAAAAGTAAGGAAGGGGGCCCGGCGTAAGCCGGGCGACCCAACTGGTAAAAATATTTCTTTCATGCCCCGGTGCCCTCTTCTCAGTGCTATTAAAAATCTCCTGAACTCCTTACCTGACTAAATCTCGAAAGCTTGGAGGAGAACCAGAAGCTTCAGATTTCGATCGTGGAGAAGGTCTCGCGATCGGAGAGGGAATAGTTGCCTGTATCTGTAAGAATGCAATAAAACAATGATGATCTAAGTGTTTGGAGTATTGAACGAAACAAATCGATTAAACAAATTCCACCCCTTCCAATAACTCCTTCTGTTCGGCCACATGGGCGCTATTCCACACAGTCGTTACAGGGGCGTTCCTGCGCACATCAACCTGTCGATCTTGAACACAGCCAGCTCTTTCAATTTCTGCTGCATTATCTAATGCTGGGCTGCGCTGTGTAACCTTTTTGTACAGTTCCTTAGACATTTTCTTCTCTGTCGAACTTTTGGAGTCCTTCCGAACATCGTCTCGTTTATCTAAAAATTAGCTATAAAACTTTCCTGCATGAATCGTATTTTGAGAACTTCACCTTCTTCAGTTCGTGCGTTAAAAAATGGAATTCGTCCATGTGTTGAAAATAACCTTATAATTAATTAAGTAGACAAAGAATCGCTTGAGCACTACTTTTTTGCACAGCAACATAAGTACACATCTAAGGGCTAAATTGATCTTGGCATAATGAGGAAGTTCATGTAAACATCGGAACGCAAAGGTAATCGAGTAGTAGCATGATTTTCAAAGGATTTCACGAAGCGACTATTAGTTTTGCTATTAGCGAAAATTAGTTCTTGATGAGAACATTTCTGTAGAGACTTCTGCTCTGAAGTACTACATCTTATTGGGTCTTCCCGATACATTTTATTCTTATTTCATCTTATTTCATCACCTAACTTTGCAGAACAGTAGAATTTAATTCGTCTTCTGATAACAAAAAATATTTCCACACTACCACAAGAAATAAGGTGATTCTGGCACACGGGGAGAAACATTACCCTCGTCAGAGAATCAAAGATTTGGAACATTTTGATTCACATACTTGGGACACTTAACACAGTCCACGCTTGCGACCACTTCTTACCACAAACTCCACATTTTTGCATTAACAGGCAAGAGCTGGGGTCTATAACCACAGAGGTCACTGAACTTTTTCAGTTATAATCATGAATCAACGGCGAGTGATGAAAAGCGATAGCATAGGAGTAAAGAGCAATGAGTTATGTTTACAACACATTACATAGTGTCCCAAAATGGTGGGCCGTAACTCAGAAACTCTGAGCAGTAAAAAAATATTAACAATCGCAACACTTGCAGTTCACTCGCAACTATTTAGTTGCACAAACAGCTCATCTCGCACTATGTATAGCTTCCGAAACAAGAATCACAATATCTCTGAGGTGGTGAGGGTTCAGTCGATGCTATACGCGATGATATACATGCAAGAGTTGGCAGGGCAGAGTAGAATTCCATCATTTCAGTAACTCCCATACAGAGGCTATTGAATGAAAAAGTGAAGCAGAATTTATCAAAGACAGGGCTAATAAAGTAGCCTATTTGCGAGTCGGTCCTTGTCCTGGGTGACCAATCCAAAGAACGGCATCGGTGCATGAATTATCGAAGTTATCGAGTATGAGGATTGTCAAGCAAAAGCTTCACTGCCATTTATATCGCATGCAGTAATGCTACTTCTGACTCTCTGAAAGAGAAAACACACATCTTTTTTTTTCGTTATCGTTTTCTTTGGAAATTTTTTTTTTGCGACAAGGCTAACCTTCAACAATTAAAACGATTGCATATGAGCAAGGAACTTCGAAAGCCAATCATTCATGTAAAAGTCACTATAACAATGGCAAAATGATGTTAATTGAGGGAGTCACGGCCGATTGTAAGACGCCGTCGGTTTCGTCGTGAAAAATGATAGGGACGTGAACCAAAAGAGCTGCTGATAGACATATTGGAGTATTGATCCGATTCCGGTTTGTGAAACAGCCCGTGGTTCTTCCAGTAGAACGGCACTCCAGCACAACCAAGATCGTCTAAGAGTGGTGTCGACGTCATTAGAATAGACAAATGACAATCGTGCTCTCCGGATCTTAGCTCACTTGACGCCTTTGTATGGTCATTGATTGGAAGAGAACCTGCTCGTTCGCAATCCCACTTGGGATCTAGAACAGACTCTGGACCTCTATACGTGCTGATGAAGGATGTTTCGAAATGTGATTGTACCTAGTTGTTGCACATAATGCAAGCAAACGTGCATATAAATACCATTAACGATATCGGCTTATGAGTTCAAATACATTGCAATGACTCGTGATAGATTGTGATTTATAACGAGTATTCGGATAAGTTATCTCCAACCTCAGTTGATCAAGCCGAGGTGTTCGGGTAGTCTTATGGCATGCGCGCATAATATAAACGATCGAGCAAAATCATGCTAAGTAAGACTGGGTTATATAGCTGGAAACAAATGTTAATCGTTGCAGCTACATCTCACTCAGGAAAAACCTAAAAACATTGTTCATACTCGAAACTCCCTCACCCAAAACGGTTTCAACCTTGGAAATCACGCATTCAGAGATAGGCTCTCAAAAGTGAAGTGTTCGTCTAATTGAATAGCTACTATGAACATTTACATTTGAAATTCCGCTTCAATTTTCGCGCACTGGAGATGCAAAAGAAAACAGCAGAGTTCGATGGTGTCTGATGCAAAACAGTGCTAACGTAGTAGTTTCCAAATCTTATATCCACCCTTTTTTGATGGCTTCATTGCCCAGTGACTAATTGACTTCATATATAGAGAGGATGTAGAGGACATGTGGTTTGGTTCATATTATATATAGGCTGAGGGCGGCGAAGCAGTGCTACAATAACGGCACTATTGTAATTCAGTTTTTCAGCGGAGCTCTTATACCCTTCTCCAAGGATGCAAGGTGGACCACTGAAGTCGCTTCTTCTAAACGGCATATTATGCATTTTATCAATAACTTTCCTTACTTCAGGCATAACAACATGGTTAGGAGCGCTTTGTAGGCGCTCCATCCAACAAACCTTCTTCACGTGCAGATGCTCACCAACAGATAGGCGCAAAGATCTGACCGCAATATGGTTCTCACATCTCTTCGATATTTGACAGACTGTGATTACCACAGTGTGCATTGTATGTGCTCAAGTGTGTAGGGTACGCACTAGGCGCACAATAAGTTTTGAGTCTGAATCAAGAACTGTTGAAGGTTGAACCAAACTTCCCATTTCTCTGTTGCTGTATAAAAATAAGTTTAAAAAATAAATTTCAATAATTCGATGTGGTTCTATCAGAAGCGACTTGCTGCTCAACAGGTCTGGAAAAAATGTCAACATCTTGTGTCAAGAGTCTGCCGTTTCGAAGTTCTGCCAAATTCCGTAGTGTACACAAGCTTGAACGTACATCTCGATCCAGTCGTCCACAGGAAATCGACAGAGATGCAGCGATTTAAGAGAATCCTTTCATCGGACTATCTCTACACAGGATAGGATTCTCTCTACACAGGGTAGGATTCCACAGGTGAATTTGGTAGAGGCCATATGTGGAAAAGCAGCAATTCGCAGGCAAGAAGTTGTGCATAAGTTGGCAGCACAAAGTCATCACCTTCATCATCACGCCTCCCTTGCTAAACAGCACTAACGTGGTCGACGAGCAACGAGCTTTCTCAAGAAGTAAGAAATCGACGCTGGTCCCATCAATGGTCTTCGTCAGGATAGCAATGCAACTCCGCGAAAGCAATGTTGACAGTTTCTAAGGTCCAAGCTGGTAGATTTAGAGCTACTTTCTGCTGCCCGAGTGGTCAAGGCCGAGCACCATTACAAACAGATGGACCACCTCAATTAAGTGCTTTTTCGTCTTCGCCGCTGCAACGTCATCCTGCTTGGAGATTGCCAAGCTAACATTGCGGAGAAAACGAAGAAGAGAACGAGTGAACTCGGTTTGGAGACGTTCCCTCATTTTCCACTCTGACTTCCGAATATTCGAACGCTGGCTCAATAAGAAGTTTCGAGTTATTGAGCATTTCCGTCGAGCATTATTTTGGTGATATGGGATCTTGTCGACGAGATATTGATTGGTGACGGTAAAAAAGGCAAAACTATGTTAATATCGATGGAGCATACTTTGACTGCTACGGATCTCCTTCACTTAGGGTCCTCTCTCACTCGAGGATCTCTAGCCGGCTAGCGACAAGACTACGTAGGGCGGCCTCAAGGGGCGAAGATCCTGTGCCAGAATCCAATACAGCAGTGCTGGGTAGAACCGTTCGGGTGAGGATGCTCAAACCTCAAGGCCAAACAGGCAGCCAAAAAGGAGAATGACTAAGATGACGAACGCTTGCATTGGAAGCGCGTATGGAAGATCTCTTGATAAAAGCTATTGTAGAAGGATCAAGTAAGACAGACACGAGAAGGCATCGCCCGCTGCATCTCGTATTCGAGACGGGAGAAAAGTGTTCCTAGGACATGCGACAACAGAAGCGTCGACGGCGAAGATGCCCTCGTCAATATGCACTTTCTCATGAACATCGATTTGTGCCAAAGCTTGACAACCCAAAATGTCAACCTCAGCTTTATCGTTGGCTACGCACCAACATCAAGCTAGGAAGAAGAGGAGCGGGAAGCGTTTCATATGAAGCTCGAAATACTCTTCAGAGAGAAAGACAACTTTAAAGCCATCGTCGGTGACTTGAATGTCAAAATCAACATCAGAAGAACGGCTGAAGAGCGGACTCACTGACAGAATAGAATTAAGAGGGTGAAAGTGTCCGAGTTCATTATGTCGGCATACAACATCCATGGCAACGCGCAGTTTCTCGTTTGCGGTGGATATGGGAGTCATCTGGTGGACAATACCCTAGTGAAATAGACCACATCATCTTAAATCGAAACTTTTGCCTGACTGTTATCACGGTTGTTCCGAACTTGTGCACGGGTTCGGAACATATGCCCTTCGCACTTTTTTGTTTTTCAAGTGTGGAGAGAGAGAGAGGTGAAGCTCAGGGAACAAAGCGCCAAGACCTTTACACCTCTTTTTCAAGTCTCTGGAACGTTTCCGTTATCGACAACACCAGTCGGCTCGTCCGGCTGACGCCGGGCTCCCCTCCTTTTCGTGTTAGAATAGCATCCCCGCCTGCACCTTTTTCAGATTTGGAGGCTTCGTTAGATGAGAACAGGAGATTCATTCTCGGCCAAACACAAACACCCAACACAATTCGTGCGCGCCCCGTCCGCCATGAACAAACCTCCTTAGGTTCTGTGTGTTTGCGTAACTCGATTTATTCCCGACTTTCATACCTCGGTTTCTGAAGTTCGCTTCAAGTC